TTCAACTGGAGGTAAAAGAGTTTATATTAAACAATTATTTGTTGCTAACAACATTATTTTTTTTTCAGATACCTTGCTTTTTATCGTTCCGGCCACCAGATTCGTTGGTTTTCATAAAGTTTCATTTGGCAGTACAAAATGTTGACTCGAAATGCTAAACAAGTTTTGAGAATTTTCCTAATTTTAGCGAAAATGCGTAAATTAAAACTGCGATTAAAACAGAAGCGCCGATTTTGGGTTCGGAAATTGTACTTAGAGCGACACAAATATGGATTGTTTGAAAGTTCATTAAGAAACTTGGCTGCAGATGAGGAGCAGTTTAACAAGACATTAAGAATGCCCTTTTCGTTATTTAATGTGCTGCACGAATTTCTGGAGGCTTCGCTGACCAAATATTCAATCAGAACACCAATATCGAGTCGCTGCAGACTATTTATAACCCTGATGTAAGAGAAAATCGGTTTTACTTAATAGTATACGTATAATTTTCCATATATGTATCTGGTTTTATTTTTTTGTTGCAGATATTTGGCTCACGGTGGCACTCGGCAATTCCACACAATAGTTCACAGGATCGGCCTGACGACTTTCAGGAAGATTACGTTGGAGACATGTATGACCATATGGGATCTGTTAGCTGACCTGTATGTGGCGACCCCGTCAGAAACGGAATGGGGACGTATTTCCAATGAGTTCAAGTCGCTGTGGAATATGCCCAACTGCGTTGGTTCCATCGACGGAAAGCACATTAATATTACCTGTCCAGCAAATTCAGGGTCGATGTACTATAATTACAAAGGCAATTATAGTATCGTGCTTTTGGCCGTATGTGATGCCAATTATACCTTTACCGGCGTTGACATCGGAGCATATGGAAGTCAAAGCGATGGCGGTGTCTACCACTTTTCAAAACTGGCAGATGCTATTGAAAATGATAGGCTCGGCCTTCCACATGATCAGCCTCTGCCAGGAGAAACCGAGCCATTTCCACATTATTTAGTAGGAGATGCAGCCTTTCCCTTACGGCGTTATTTAATGCGACCATATCCGGGTAGAGGTATTCCAGAAGAGCAAGAGTATTTCAATAAAAGACTCTCTCGTGCAAGAAGAGTTATAGAAAACGCATTTGGAATACTCACTGCCAAATGGAGAATATTGAGAACGACGCTATGCATGGCCCCGAAAAATGCAGAACAAATAGTGAAAGCTTGTATTGTCTTGCATAATTTTATTAAGCTTTCGTGTGCAAACTATGTAGCAAGCGATTTTGTTGATCGCTACGAAGAGGATGCCACCATCGCTGGCTCATGGCGAAACGAAGTAGTTCCATTGCCCTCAATAAGTAGGGTGTCATCGAACCGAGGCAGTTCAAATAATTATGATTTAAGGGATGCTCTGAAGACACATCTTTTTAACGATAAAATTTAAATAATTACTACTCACTGAATATGCTTTGTTTTTATTATTTAAGATAGAAAACAAAAATTTGAACTCACAGTATGAGGGCACTTATTGGTAATGTTTTAAATGTCGTCACATCTTTCAGGTTTTTAAATTAATTTTTGTTCAAGGTAAGTATGGCGTTAACATAACATATATTTCATTCAGTCTTTTAAGTTAAAACCGTTTTAAACAGTATAGTGGTTACAAACAATATACCTTTCAGTCTTTTAATTGTTTTGTTTCTTTTTAAGGTACATACAGTGGTCAAACAAATTATAGCCCCACTATATTTGACAAGTTTTAACATATTATTTTTTAATTTTGACTTTTTTATAAAACGGGATTTTTTACACGGGCTTTGTTAAAGAATTAACTATATTTTTATGAAAAAGTTACTAAAATTAAAAAAAAAAATGTTAAAACTTGTCAAATATGGTGCGACTATAATTTTTTCGACCACTGTAAATATGGCGTATTTATAAAACAAAAGTGAATTACAAACAATTTACTTCTTAGTCTTTTAAGTAATATGTTTCTTTTTAAGGTATTGCCTATTTATAAAACAAAAGTTGTTACAAACAGTCTACTTTTTAGTCTTTTAAATAATAGGGCTGTTCAGGATCTTGTCTATAGGATCTTGCATTTACATATTTCAGTGCATTTGTAAATTCACAACAAAATACAAACAGCTACCATGATAGCATACATAAAATTTGCACAATATCCTGAATGTGTTGCTTCTCAAGACCGTAATTGGCATGAATATTTCACAAGTCATTAAAATTATCTTTTGTTCAAGGTAAGTATTAAACTTACAGTTATGTGCAAAACAAAAAACACAGCGTCGTTTTTGCTATAATTTCATTGTTTCTAATCAAACACAATTGTACATTTTTTAAAGAAAATATCCAGGTTATTTATTTAAATGCCTCGTAACCGCGTAAGCCTCGTAAACTTGCATCGAAAACCACGCGTTTGGAATAATATCCTGAATATTTTCTTTAAAAATATGTTAAATTTTGTTTGATTAGAAACAACGAAATTATAGCAA